TGGAAGCTGGGCCTGAAGGCCTGGAGGCCTGGAGATAGGAGGCTTGGAGACAGGAGGCTTGGAGGCTGGAAGCTGCAGGGCCTGGAGCCTCTATCCGCACCCTATCCTCACCTCGCTGCCGCATCGTCCCAGCGCCGCGGTCGTCCCCCCCGCTGCGTCGTCGTCGCCACGTCTACCTCCTCAAAACTTCAAAGCGGGGCCTGGCCCCGATGTTGAGGATGGCGAAGAAGGGGACCTGAGATCGGGGTAGGGCATATAATGGGCCTGAAACCAGAAAGGACCGACTGTTGCACAGCAGCGCATAACCAGTTGACGCCCGCACCAAAAAACACGCAGGCCGACGCTGGTCTGAGAACCCTTTGCTCTTCACTCAGAGGTCCGCACTTTGACCTGACACTGCCGCCGCCTGCGCGAAGTCAACATCGACTGAACAAGCACGGTGGGAAGACTGGCAGCTCGCCCTTTTTTGCACTCAAACGCTGATGCTCCCTGGATGTCTCAACTTTCTGTCAAATTCCTGGCCCTGCGCTGTTGGCAGGCTGCACCTCCGCCCTCTGCTGGAATGCTTGATCTGCTGCTTCAACTTTCTATCCAAACTGCAATTCCCCAGTCTGGGCTTCTTAAGGCTTCGTGGCGGCTTCAATTGCATCAGAAGATTCCCAACCACCTGGTCTTCCGCTTGAGCAGAACGTGCACTGACGGTGACGCTGCACAATACCGCTCATCGGCCTTAGTGGTGGCCTTGACGTAGATGCAGTGGGCACCTTGTGCCTTCACTGCCTGTGCTAGGTGTTTGCTGGTGAAACGTGCCTCAAAGTCCTCGGCCCTGACACACTGGTTGAACGGGGCGTCGGCCACGCGGCGCGCCACCTCCTTGGCAGCCTTGACCTTTTCTGGGCCAAAGCCGCCCTGCGCATCGATGCCGAAGAAGCGCTTGATCTCCTTTCCCTGGCACATGGCAAACAACAGTGCGCAAAACAAAGGCGCAAAACAAACCCGTCCTGCTCGCCCATGGCTTCCTGCCGGACCTCCTCGAGGGTCTGGGCTTTCAGGTGCTTGGCGAGCTCCTGCGATTGCCGCCCGTGAGGTGCAGCAGCTCGGCCGTGTGCTCCACAGCGGCATCTCCCCCGTGGTGCTGGAGGCTGGTCAGGGAGAATGCCAAACAAAGGAACGCGCTCGGCAAAAGGCCCCCGCCTCCTGCTGCTTGCACTCTTCCTCACTCAGCGATGCGATCTGGCACCGAACTTCGCGCGCATCCGCGTCAAAGCTCAGTGCCATGGAGGCACTGCTCGCCAAAACCACCACCTTCGCCGATTCGGCGTCGTAGCCCAACATCTTAGCGAGGCCAGAGCAACTGGCGAGAACTTTCATATCACTCACTTGCCGGGGTATCTCCAAGACGACGATGGGCAGGCGGCCCAGCATCTTTGCCGCCTGCTTCAAGGCCTCC